TGACTTTGGGAAACATTCCCAAAATCGATAATTGTCCAAATTCAAAATGTGAAACGTGTGTTGAATCTAAATATGCTAGAAAACCATTTCCTCTTGTTGATAGGACTACTTCAGTTTTAAGTTTGATACATTCTATTTATGTGACTTAAAAGGATATGTTACTCATGGTGGAAATAAATATTTCTTAACTTTCATTGATGATTATTCTCGATATTGTTATATTTATCTACTTAAGAGCAAGGATGAAAGCTATTCAAAATTTATTTCCTATAAAATTGAAGTAGAAAATCAGTTAGACAAAACTATTAAAGTTTTAAGATCTGATAGGGGAGGAGAATATACTGGAGATTTTGATTAATTTTGTGTTGAGAATGGCATTATTCATGAGACTACTCCACCTTATTCTTCCCAATCTAATGGTGTAGCTGAAAGGAAAAATCGAACCCTTAAGGATATGGTCATATCAATGCTAAGCTCTTCTGGATTACCTTTTAACATGTGGGGAGAAGCACTTCTTACTGCATATTATATTCTTAACAGAATTCCTAGTAAGAAAAATAATAAGTCTCCTTATGAAATGTGGAAGAGTAGAACACCTTCATATAAATATCTTAAAGTGTGAGGGTGTTTAGCTAAAACTTCTATTCTAGCACCTAAGAGAACTAAACTTGGTCCAAAAATTGTTGATTGTATTTTTATAGGCTATGCTTTTCATATTATTGGCTACAGATTTTTAGTTATTGACTCTAAAAATAATTTGATTAAAACAAACACAATATTTGAAACTAGAGATGCTAAATTTTTTGAAAATAGATTTTTGTTTAAAGAAAAGTCTGAAGGATCAAGCAGTTCTTTTAGTATTCTTTCTAGTGTTAGAGAGGAGCCATCTGAAATAGAAGAAGCTGAAATTAGGAGAAGCAGAAGACCTAGGACCATTACTTCTTTCGATCCTGACTTTATAACCTACTTAGTAGAGGATGATCCTAGTATTTTTGGTGAAGCAATTTTTTCACTAGATTCTATATTTTGAAAGGAAGCTATAAATAGTGAATATGATTCAATTATGTCTAATAATACTTGGGAGTTAGTGGACTTACCTCAAGGATGTAAGACAATTGGATGTAGATGGTTGTTTAAAAAAAAAACTTAAACCTAACGGTTTAATTGATAAGTATAAACGAAGACTTGTAGCTAAAGGCTAAGATAAAAAGAAGGAGTTGACTGCTTTGATACTTATCACACGTTACTAGGATTACCTCTATTAGGATGTTAATTGCAATTGTCTCACTGTATGATCTTATTATACATCAAATGGATGTCAAGACTACATTTTTAAATGGAGACTTAGAAGAGGAGATTTATATGGATCAGCCTGAAGGATTTGTTGTAGAAGGCCTTGAGGATAAAGTATGTAGACTTAAAAAATCCCTTTATGGCCTTAAACAAGCTGATAAATGCATATATAGCAAAGTTGAAAGTAATTGTGGTGTGATGATTTGTTTATATGTTGATGATATGCTAATTATGAGAACTAGTTTAGATGTGGTTAATAAAACTAAACTGTTTCTGAACAAGCACTTTGAAATGAAAGACTTGGGTGTTGTTGATGTTATTCTAGGAATCAAAATAGTAAAATATTCTGACGGAATAATTTTGACCCAATCACATTACGTAGAAAAGGTGCTTAAAAAGTTTAATCAATACAACTGTATTCCTTCTAAAACACCTTATGATGCAAGCTGTCATTTGAGAAAACATTCAGGTCCTAGTGTTTCCGCTTTAGAGTATGCTAAAGTAATCGGCAGTCTCATGTATCTCATGAACTGTACAAGACCTGATATAGCATATGCTGTCGGTAGACTTAGTAGGTATACTAGTAATCCTAACAATGAACATTGGGATGCTCTCATTCGAGTCTTGAGGTATTTGAAATACACTCTGGACTGGGGAATACATTATACCAAATTCCCTGCTATACTTGAGGGATATTGTGATGCTAATTGGATTTTCGATACCAATGAAAGTAAATCTAGAAGTGGATATGTATTTACATTAGCAGGTGGAGCTGTCTCCTGGAAATCCACTAAGCAAACCTGCATTGCTAGATCTACTATGGAATCTAAGTTCATAGCTTTAGATAAGGCAGGTGAGGAGGCTGAATGGTTAAGGAATTTTCTTATGGATATTCCTACGTGGTCTAAACCATTTCCAACTATTTCAATACATTGTGATAGTCAAGCAGCTATCTCAAGAGCTCAAAATTCATCCTACAATGGAAAGTCTAGACATATTCGTAGGAGGCAGAATATTGTGCGTCAGCTGCTTAAGGATGGGATTATAGCTATTGACTATGTGAAATCAAGTGATAACATTACTGACCCATTAACCAAAGGATTGGCTAGAGAGCTAATTCAACAAACATTGAGGGGGATGGGGCTAAAGCCTATTATTTATTAGATCACCTATAATGGAAACCCAAACTTGCAACTGGAGATCCCATGGTCAAGGTTCAATGGGACAACGAAGTTATTGGAGTGGTCTGTGGGGGTACTACATTGGATTTATTCCAAACCTCTCCCTATGATGCGTAGTACCAACTGTATTGATTAGAGGATGAGATAATGCTTTTAATGCTTACTATAGCTAATATTCAGTGGGATGTTTAAATACAGTGCACCCTTGATAGTAGCACCTATTTGAGTGTGGAAGTGGGGCCGCTTCCTATGAGAATTGAGGCGAATTCTCTAGAGCACTCAAAGAAACTGGGAAAGTTCACGGCCGAAATGAACACAACCGCGAGAACTCAATGACTGTTCTAGAAATCATGTGTGTTCTATTGTCTTAGTTTGCAACTATAATTGTAGAGTTCAAGACATAGTTCACTCTACAGTTAGTAAGCTCAATAGAATATACAAAACCAAGGTTCAAGTCGATAAACACCTAAACCTGCATGATTTATACCGTACTCCAGAGTAATATTTTCATTTATTTTATTTCTTTCATGTGGGGGATTGTTATATATTCATGGTATAAATATAAAATGTGAAAGAAATAATCAAATTATATAAAGTGCCAAAGTGGTGGGAAATGTGACATTTGTGTGGGACGTCAGGGGTTCGAGTCACTCCCCACGCAAATATTAAAATGTCTTGATTGGAGCCTTGGGCTCTTGGGCTTCCTTGACTAAAATAATTTTTTTTTTTATTTAGTGGGTAAAACTAGCCAGTATTTTCTGACCGTTTGCTTTTGTAACAACCCACTAACAGTCATTAAAATACCCACTACTCAGTCATTAAAATTCTGCATTACACTCTGAACATAGTAGAGACTGTTACTTCCATCTTACCTATATAAATCTATATCTCGTTTTGGGAAAAACACACTTAGAAAAGAAATAGAAAAATCATCTTGGCTCAATCCTCATTTTCATATTCTGAATTTCTTATACTCGGGTTTTTACATATATTCTGGAGTACAATTGAGAGTTCTGGAAAAGCCATTCGTGTTTGCTGCACAAGTGGTTTACGATCTTTGTATCCTGAAAGTGATTGTCCACGGAAGTCGCAGCAATTATCGACGGATAATTTCACTTTAGGACATCGTGCTGTCACGAGACTCGATCGGACGATAAGTTTTATAGTTCTGCATTATATTGTTCTGAACACTACTGTAACTATTTATTTTTCCAACAATATGTTGAAAATTTGCCCCCAATTTATCGTATGTAATCCCATTTTTGTGCCTTTTACATAAACTGAGAAAATTCAATTGTACATATAAATTAACGCTGTGGTACAACAAGTTCTTCTTTAAGAATTAAGGCAAATGTTATCCAAGTCCTAAATCTCAGCCAATTGAAGAACTTGAAAGTGATATATATATATATATATATATATATATATAATTTTTTTTTCTTTTCTTTTCTTTTCAAAATGGTCCCAAAATCACTAAAAAATTTAAATTGGACAGTGTAACGTATGTGTCTTTGTGGTCCACAGAAAATTCCAATGAAGAATTTTATTTTCATAATCGAAGTTAAACACGAAATTAATAGCAAGATATGTGAAATTAATTTTACAGCCTCAAATTCTTTTCGTCAAATAATTTTTTTACCTAAACTTGATTTCTTAAAATATATAGAATTGATGGGAGAAAATTGAGGCAATCTAATAAGTGAGATGCATTTGTATCTCAAATGGCACAAACCAATCATAAACAAGATATATAGTTGTGCATAAAAGGTGAGGGATTGCGGCACTGTGAGGCCATATATTTATCGCATTACATATTGATAGCTGTTTAGATGTGCTTAAAAGTTACTATTTACGAAGTAAGTTACAAGTTGTTTTTTTAAAAGTAATTTTTACTATTAAAATTTAATTGAAATCAATTTTGATAAATTAATAAGTCAGTCAAGCTTTCTTTTATTCACAATGAAACGCTATTTTTAATTAATATCACTAATATCTATGAATAGAGATTACTTAAATGAGAATTTTCGTCAACCAAATTTACATACACCTTGTTGCTACCAAAAATAATATTGTAGCAATCCAATCGGATCCACTTGCTTGATGAATGCCAGCCATTCACAACGGTCTCTTGGGAATTTGTCAAGCTCTAAAAACTGACATGAAATTACTTTTTATTAAATTACGTCGATACTTTCATATATTATGGGTAAGGTAGGGCTGCAACTGTAGCAATTCATTAATTTCTAAATTAATGCTATCTGTGTAGCACTGCGGATGCTTAACTGAGTCTATTTAATAGTGGAGTCCATACTGACGCTAGGCCACTCAGCATCACTTCTTGATTTAATGTTGAAACCAAATTTATGCTGGTAACAATATTAAAATGAAAGAGTCCAAAATACACGGAACGAAGGCTTTATGGCAACCAATCAAATGATCAATCCACCATAGTTACAGTAATTTTTCTCACCAGATTCTACCTATGTACGAACAGTAGACACAGACTTGACCATCAAAACTACAAAAGCATATAATCACCACAAAACACAAACACAAGCACATATGTTTACAGGATAAAATTTACACGTGCATATATACACAATGTGTTGGGTTTATGTTTGTGGTGAAGAAGAGAGAGAATTGGGTCGACAACAAGTGGGAGGGTCGTGTCCTCATTGCAAAGCGAAGGTAGACATGGTAGATTTCGAGTGCAAAAGGAAGTTCTGCTTTCTTCCCGTTTGCCTTTTAGTCAAGAGGAGATATATCTGCACTCACTGCTCCCGCCACTTGGTCTTGTACTCCTAGTCCATATAAATGTTTGGTATGTGGTACTGTATTAAGCTCGACTCAACTGTATAAAAAGAATTATTATTTATTATTATTATTATTAATTTTTTTTTGGGCGGGGGGGGGGGGGGGGAATTTTGTACCAAAACTTGCTTTGAGATGCTTTGTAATTCAAATGCAAAAGTTGAAAAGACGATAGCTGTAGACACATGCATGAATTGCCTGAATTTTTCAATCAATCATTTATAAGTATGTGAAAATCTTTGAAGGCTAAATCAACACACTGCACTGAGTATGTACAAGGTGCTTACAAATCAATCTAGAATATTTACAGCTTAATTACGGGGAAATTGATGGAATATTTATAGCTTAATTACAGTGAAATTGATGGGAAGAATATCCCATAATTGAGCTAGATTAGCATATAATTAGCCTGGAATAGTGGGGGTCAAATCTCTTACATGAATTATGCCTTAGATTAGGTCAAAGTATCCTCAACACCCCTTGCAACCTGAGCGTCAGATTGGAGTAGACATGAAGTTTGGATAAAAAAATACAAAAAGTGGTCGAGGGAGACTTTTGGTAAAGATGTCAGCAACTTGTAGGTGAGAAGGGACAAACTAAGTGTGAAGTTTGCCATAGAACGACAAGTTCCCAAAGGAAGTGGTAGTCTAATTCAACATGCTTGGCCCATTTGTGAGAAATAGGATTGGAGCTTAGAAATATGGCACTTTTACTATCACATAAAAGAAGGGGCTACTGTGAAAGTGATTGTTCGAAAAAATAATTAGTTGCAGTAGTGATCAAAACAATATAATGCAGAAATATAAAACTTATCGTCCGATCGAGTCTCGTGACAGCACGATATCCTAAAGTGAAATTGCCCGTCAATAATTGCTGCGACTTCCGTGGACAATCACACCCAGGATACAACGATCGTAAACCACTTGTGCAGCAATCACGAATGATTTTTTCTAGAACTCTCAATTGTACTCCAGAATAAATGTAAAAACCCGAATATAAGAAATTCAGAATATGAAAAGGAGGGTTGATGCAAGATGATTTTTCTATTTTCTTTTTGTGTGTGTTTTTCCCAAAACGAGATATGGGTTTATATAGGCAAGATGGAAGTAACAGTTTTCACCATATTAATGCAGAATTTTAATGGCTGTTAGTAGGTTGTTACAAAAACAAACAGTCAGAAAATACTTGCTAGTTTTACCCATTAAATAATAAAGGAAAAAAAATCATTTATTTTAGTCAAGGAAGCCCAAGGCCCCAATCAAGACATTTTAATATCTGCGTAGAGAGTGACTCGAACCCCTGACGTCCCACACAAATGTCACATTTCCCACCACTTTGGCACTTTATCTAATTTGATTATTTCTTTCACATTTTATATTTATACCATAAATATATAACAGTGACACCAGTAAGTCCTGAAGAAGGTTAATAATCCAAAGAAGCTCAGAGACAACTTGAGCAAGGGCACAATATTCAGATTCACAGCTAGAACAAGAGACTGTGGGTTGCTTCTTAGCACCTCCAAGAAACAAAATTCCCTCTAAGATAGATGGAGTAACTAGAAGTAGATCGGTGAGTATTAGGACATTCAACCCAATCAGCATCAAAGTAAGCAATGAGAGCACCGGAATAGTAGAGGGGCGAAAAATGAGGCCAAAATGAAGGGTGCCCTTGATATAGCAAAGGATACACTTAACTGCAAGAAAGTGGTCTGTTGTTGGAGCGTGTAGAAATTGTCTAACAGAATTCATAGCATGGGCAATATCTGGACGCATGATAGTCAAGTATTGTAGGGTGCCAACTAGAGATCTATAAAAAGTAGGATTGGAGAACAGCGGACCTTTTGCAGACAAGTGCTGGAATATAACCATAGGAGTATGGATTGGTTTGCTGTCAAGCAATTGAGCTCAAGTAAGAATATCCCATACATATTTCAGCTGACTTATAAAGAAACCATCTTTAGTTGTCGAAGCTTCAAGGCCAAGAAAGTAGCTGAGAAGACCCAAATCCTTAGTGGCAAACTTAGAATTGAGTTTGAAAATGAATTTGTCGATGAGAGATGAGTTGTTGCCAGTGATAATAATATCACAACATAGAGAAGCAAATATATGATATCAGAGTGCCTATGGAAGACAAAGAGCGAAGTATCAGCCCGACTACAATGAAATCCAATTTGAATAAGGAACAAGCTGAAGCACTGGAACCAAGCACGAGGTGCTTACTTTAGACCGTAGAGAGTTTTCTTCAACTAATAGACATGATTAGAAAAGTGATGATCAATATATCCTGGAGGTTGTTCTATGTAGACATGCTCAGTATGAGTGGCATTGAGAAACACATTCTTAACATCAAGTTGGTGAAGAGGCCATTTGTTAGTCACAGGAATATAGAATACAACGTGAACAGTGGAAGCCTTAATAACAGGACTAAAGGTATCATTATAGTCGAGACCAAGCACCTATATATAACCCTTGGCAACAAGACGAGCTTTGAAACGCTCGATGGATCCATCAGACAAATATTTAGTTTTGAACACCCATTTGAAGCCCACAATGCTGGTGTTAAGAAGCCTAGGAACCAAAATCTAGACGTGGTTGTTTTGTAAGGCTTGCATTTCTTCATCCATGGCAGCAAACCAGACAGGATTCTTTGCACCAGATTTGAAACTTTTAGGCTCAATGGAGACAAGAAGAGCATAAAGATGACTGAAGGAGCCTAAGACGCCAATATTTGTTGGATGGAAAGTTTTGAAAATACCAACCTTAGCTTGTGTGATCATAGGGTGAGAGACTAATGGGGATGCTGGTGCTGGAGTGAGATCATGAACTTGAGGAGCGATTTTAGACTCAACAAGAAATGGCCTAGGGGTTGAGTGTACCAAAGTAGAACCTGCATTAGAGTCAGTAACCTACCAAGACTCATCACTAGATCAGTACAAATAATACACGGGTTACATCTGGATGTAGTAATAGAAGGAAAATGATGCTTAGGGAAAGATGTTTTTGCATGGGATGAGCTGGGCTCCAAGAGATGAGATAGGTTGAGCATGAGAGGTTTCTAAAGAAGAAAGTGATGTTCGTCAAACTGTGCATGTCGAGTGATGTCTATCCAGAGGTTGTGGGATCAAGGCAACGAAACCCTTTATAAGAAGGACTATATCCCAAAAAATGCATGGGATGGTGCAAGGGAAAATTTGTCAGACATGAAATCTAGCAAACAAAGATAAACACGACACCCAAAAGGATGGAAATTTTCATAATTCGGAGGAAACCATAAAGAAACTCAAAAGTGGACTTACTTCCAAGAAGTGGTGTGGGCAAGCAATTGATGATGTAGACTGCAGTGTTGAAGGTGTCAACCCCAAAGCGGGGAGAAAGATGAGAGTTAAAAATGAGAGCAAGGTTGTCTCAGTCACATGACGATGTTTCCTTTCGACACGATCATTTTGACCAGGTATGTATGGGCAAAATAGTTGATGGTAGATGCTAGAGTTAAGAAAGGGTGATTGAAAACGATTGCTAGTAAATTCTTTGTTGCCATCACTTTGAAAAGTTTTCATGTGTGAAGAATACTGATTTTCCACAAATTATTGAAATTGAAGGAGAATATTGTAAAAATCAGATTTTGAATGCAAAGGGTATAGCCAAGTGAAATGAGAAAAATCATTGACAAAGACAACATAGTATAAAAAACCTGAAGTGGATTTGATGGAGAAGGGGCTCTACATCTCACAATGAATTAAATTCAACACATTAGAGGATCGTTTTTCATTGCGCGAATAAGGCAAACTATGATTTTTTACAATCTGACATGTATTACAAAGCGTTGGAGAAGGCAATGAAGATGTAAGATAAATATGACCTTTTTTTATTTAAAAGAGAGATAATGGAACGATTTACATGTCTAAGGCAAGCATGCTATAAATCATATAAGGCATGCAATGACTTATTAGTAAGAATAGAAATAAATGTGGGGTTTCCACGCTTCAGCGCATATAATCCACTATCTTGTTTATTGGTTGCCACCACAGTTCCCGTATGATGATTCTGAAAGTAAAAGAATTATTAGTGAAAGAGATAGATAAAAGGAAAAGTAGAAGTTAATTTACTAATGGATAGAAGATTTTTGGTCAAATGAGGAACAACTAAAACATCAAGTAAATGAAGATTTTGATTAGGAGAGACGGTACCAATGTGAGTTATAGGTAGGGACGCACTATTCCCTACAATTACACAATCCTTACCAGTGTAATTACTTGAGTGATCTAGAATAGATGGATTGGTGCTCATGTGGGCCAAAGCCCCAGAGCCCCATTTTCAGATATGGAGCATGATTTATCGAAAGCCTCGATGAGATGAGTAGAGTTGTCTCACCGAGTATACCTCTGGCCACAATGGTCAGCGTAGTCTCCTTCGGTCTGACAAATCTGACATCACGGGGGCGACGTCCTTGGCCAGAGAAGTTTCGTCTATTGTCACGATTGGAGTATGCCTGATTGCAGTTACGTCCATGATTGGTGCGTGAGAGGTGGCCCTTGTGACTCACACAATTGAACGTGCGATTCGTGGTAGTAAATGTTGTTGTAGGTCGACTTGTAGATTCAAGAGATTTTTGGAACAGTTTAAAGCTTTTAGCTTTGGACACAAGGTTAGTGAAGCGGGGAAAAAGAGTGATCGCCATCTGTACAATCGAGAATGACGAGAAATCAGCGCCAAGACCTTTAATAAACCAATAGACTTTGTCCATGTCATCAACTGGTCATCCAATAGCATGCAAGCGAGTCACAAAGTGCCTTAGCACGAGAATACTCAGATACAGAATGTGTTCCATGCCTCATCAATTAGAGATCATCTTTGGGGCCAATCTCTCAACCTTTGGAGCTGTGGCTGAATGTGTCTTCCAAGGCGACCCAGACCTCACGAGAGGTAGAGGTTGATGACCTCAGCCATGGCCTCCTCGGTAAAGAAGGAGAGAAGAAGGCTGAGAAGCTTCTGATAAGTTGTTTTCCAGTCTTATTATTTGGTGTTCGGTGTTTGGGAGGTTGGTGGGTAAATTGTGGTGGAGGCT